GCAGCGTCGCGTGTTGGCGGGGTGCCTGGCTGCCCAGGCGCCTGAGCCGCGGGTGCAGTGGCGGCGTTGTGAGATGTCTCGTGGCCGCCGTCCACGTCCGCCGCAGTTTGGGGGTCTGCGCCACTTCCTTCGGCGGCAGCGTTTGGCGTCTCGCCGGTGGGCGCGGCGGAAGCAGACGGCACGCCGCCAACGGCCTCTGGCGCGTGCGACGGAGGGGTCTGCTGCGCCTGGCCGTCATCCATGGGCCCACTCCGCGGAGTCGCGTCACCCACCGGCGCCGCCGTGGCTGCACCGTCCGCGGGAGGCGAGGGCCCTCGTTGCTGCTCAGACGTTTGCGCACCGACGGCCTGCTCAGCTGCGCCTGTGCGAGGAGCACTGGCCGCAGCCGGTGCTGCCAACGGTGGGGGCGCCAATGCACCGCCACTGCCTTCTGTCGCTCCTTCCTCCTCATCCCTCTTTTCTTTTTCATCCGCCGCCTCTTCTGCTTCCTCTGCGTCGGAGTTGGGCGTGAGGTTAGAAGGTGCTGCCACGTCGCCTGTCTCTTTGTCTGCTCCCTGCGATAACTGAGTTGGCGCTTCTTCTTTCTCCTCTCCTTCTTCCTGTACTTCTTCTTCCTCCTCCTCCTCCTCCTCATCCTCCTCCTCCTCCTCCTCTTCGCTTGCATCTCCACTGGACGTTTGCGTGGCGCAGCTCGTTAGCGTGCCGGGTCGATCGCTGCTCGCGGCAGCAGCAATTTGGTCGGCGGCACTTTTATTTGCGATTAGCCACCGCTTGTACACTTCGCTGCGGCTATCCGTCCCGCACCTCAGCGTCACGGCAACAGTGTCCGCCGCTGCGGATTCACTGCACCCAAGATGGCGGTCGGACGCCGGATACATAGTCACGGCCCAGGCGCAGACGGAATCACCCGGGCTGCTGTACTTTCCACTCAATTCAAACACATCCTCCACACCGAATGAACACTTCTGCCACGTTTCCTCACCGGCAACGCGCCAACGCAACTTTTTCTCACTATCCGCACAAGACACCTCCAACAAAACTTTCACTTTAGTCGCCGTCGCCGTGCCGCAGACGGAGGGGGCGCAGCAGCCGCAGAGCAGCGCGAGGAGCGCCAGGGCGCACACCGCACGGCGCCGCACCGCCAGCATCGTCGCCATCCGCCGCAGTAGTAGTGGCGGCAGAGTCGCCGGGCTGCGAGGCGGTGGAGAGGGCGAAGGAAGAGGAAGAAGGAAATAAGTAGAGGGCAGCGGAGACAGAATAGATGGAATGAACAAAAAGGCGGCAGCCCACCGAGTGCACGTCGCGGGTAGGAAAAAATCATCCACGCGCCCCGCAGTTTAGATTTGTCGTGCGGTTGTGCGTGTGCCTGCATCGCAAAAAAAAATGCAGGAAGGCAAAGCCTGCGGGAGGACACACACAGAGAGAGCAGAGATGTAAGAGTGAAAAAAGAAGGATTACTGCCGGAGCCGGCACTGCAGCCCAAGCAGCGGCAACTCACCGAGCACGCGGTGAAACGAAAAGCAAATAATAATAATAATAATAATAATAATAATATATTTTCTCCCACGTACTCTTCAAAAACAAAAACAAAAACAATTGCGGTGCGTAGACTTCGCCTGCAGGGGAAAAAAGGAGACACATTTAGTTCGTCCCAATTTGTCCTTCCTCGTGTCCACGCACCATCGACGGTGCGTGTTGCGTTGCTTTTCTCCGTCCCCTCACCGCAGCAACGGCAGCAGCGCACAGAGTGCCGTTGCGTTTGTATATGTGTGTGTGGGAGGGGGGGAGCGGGAAAGGGGAGGCGCACGGGCGTGGGATGTCCCCGCCTCGTCACGGGAGGAGCGCAGCGGGCAACGGATGGGCGGAGTCGCGTAGCAAAAGGGGAGGTGGCCCCACAAGAAGTACCCCCGAAGCAAGAAGAAACAAAAGCAAAAAAAAAAGTAAATTGTCCTCCGCGAAGAGGAATTTATTCCCGGCGGTGTGTGTGTGTGTGGCTGTGCGGGAGACGGCGCACACGCCCCGCAGTGAAGCCGCGCGCCCCTCACAACGCCGCAAAGGCCCACAGCCCCAACAGAAGCAGCAGCGGCACCACTCGGCGCCCACGCACAGCGCCGTCCTCGGCGTTGCGCTTCCGCAGCACGACCCCCACCACCCCCGCTGCTGTTGCTGCTGCTGTGGGTCGCAGGGACAGATGTCGCGCTCTTTGCCGCCGCGGCGTCTGCAGCGGCACCGCCCCGATCTGCACTCTG